AATTGAATGATAATGTAGAGAGACATTACGGAATTTAAACAGCTGGATAAGTTAAATAGTTAATGAATTAGCAATACACTGTAAATTAAAAAGTTATGGCCGGATTTTAATTAAATGTCTCTGGAATGGGACAAAGAGCAAATTATTAGAAACATACCTCTTGGTGAAGCTTTGCAATTTACTGGTGATTTTCCCGTTAATATACATAAAGGCATTATTTGTTTTAATAAATAAACTTAGTTCAGCGTATAAGACGTTAAGTAATTTTTCCATATTTTCTGTGATTTCTCTTTCTGCTTGAAATAAGATTATCTGTGATTGTGTGAAACAGGTGAGGAACCAGTTTTATCCTAGTGACAAATTTCAAAACCACAACATATCAAGCAGATCAAAATCATTAAATATTAAAATCTAAATTCAGACAATCATTCACAGCACAATACATTATTTTTATGCAGTGTATAAATATATTCAAGATATTTCCGATACTCAAACAAGCCCACGAGCTACTGCAAAAGTTTATCGACTAAAAAATATAACTTTGGGAAGATGGGCGACAGAATTACACGCCAAGGTCTAGCCAAGGGACAAGATGTGAGAGCGTCTATTCCCTGTGAGCTGTGCGCTTGAAAAGGTGCGCGTTTCCCACGACAACCGCGGCTCCCGGCCCCGCCCCTATCCCCCCACCGTCCCGCTTTCATCCAGGCAAACAACAGACTCCGCTGCTAAATGAAATATTCATGGTGGAGATGAAGCGCACGGCTGAGAAACTGTGTGTACCTTTCTGTTTGCCGTTTGCACCGGTGGGACCCTCGCAGCCACTGAGGTTTTCGGCAGTCTGCGCTTGCGTCAGAGGTGCGCTCCTGAGAAGGGAGAATGAAAGTCGCTGAATTAAGATATTTAAGCTTGAAAAGTTTGCAAAAGTTTATGTATGTACTTTATAATAAATTACAATTTATTAAATAAAATATGTCATAACTTATGGACATTGGTCATCCCACTCCTATGGACCAATGGCTCCTATGTCTTTGTCATTATTGCATTTCCTGTGTTCGAACCGTTTATCTGTTGGAAAATCGACACATTTGGCTCACACTAAACTGTAAAATACATCAATCTTGTTTGCATGTTTGTAACTCATAATTCTTTAATACTATGTAGCTTTTAAATATACATAGCCATTTCAAGAATTTTTTTGTAAAAATAGTCCTACTTTGTGAATGGAAGAGGACAGAGAAGACTATTTAGTGGTTAATGGTTGGGGATATAACTATAATCAATCTCTATAATCAACTTTGTGTGGACAAATGCATTAACAGAGCCACTTCTGTCTTTGCATAAAACGGTTTCAATATGCAGTTTAGTCTTTGTCTGGACAGGGCTTTAATTTTATCATTTAAAAAAAGAAACAGAAAAAGAAAATGTTTTGGCGATTAAACATACGAGTACCTATTAATAGTGTGGATGATCAAAAAACTATTTTTTTTTGTTAAGGGAACAAAGCTCAATGTCAATTTGCATAATTGTTTTTTTCAAAGTTTTTTTTCCCCACGGATCCTCAAAGATCGTGTGATTTCTGACTTTCTCCATCCCTGTAGCACTCGCCCCTCACGTACATTTGTGGAGTGTGGACACAAAAGTTAAAGGGGCAACTGGACTTCAAAGTCAATATCCTGTGGAACCTCCAGCAAGAGTTTCCTAATTATTATCATCTTCCTTTGATTCATGCATTTTTGAGTAAGCATTTTGTTGTTTGATCATTCAAGGCACATGCTGAGAAATACAGGTACTAATTACAATCCAACTTTTGTTGCCTGAATCTTCCTGCCTGTGACACATGTAGCTTCTAAGCAATTCCCACAGATGCGATCCACCTGCTGGGGTTTAGCTAGAAACACTTCATACTCTGTTGTTAGGTATGACAATTTTCTTGTAGCTTTTATTTCAACAAATGTGCAGTTCTGTTTTTTGTTTAGCAGCTACATTTCACACACACAAAAACTGTCTGCTCTCTGAATTACTGAATATTGAAAATTGTAATATAAATATCCTGTCCAATTGTATTTAAAATAAAGAGACATAAGATTACATATTATTTGCATTATATATCTGAAAAAAGCTTTTAAAAGCAAGTTGTATAATGTACCTATCCTGTATAAGGTCTGGGAGAATGACATTCGGGATCTCAGGGACAGGCCGGTGCCTCAGGCGGTAGGAGCGTGTAGGACGGGGACCTTTTGGACATGTGACAACAGGCTGGGATTCATAGATCGAGTTCACCATCATTTCAAAGGGAAAATCTTCCTCCGACTGCACTTGGGCCACTTCAGCAGGACACTCAGCGGAGTCTATGTTAGAGGGGTCTTCCCAGTCTGACGATTCATCAGAGACAGAAAAGGAATTGTTGCTGCTGCTACCTGATGAGGAGTTGGAGCAAGGGACGTAACACAATCCAATATTTCGAGGATCTCTTTGCGCTGGCTGAGGAAAAGCAGGAGTTTCATCATCGTCCATTTCTTTCCCCAATCCAGCACCAGGGGGCAACGTTAAACTGCCTGTTAAGTCACACCCCCTTTTCTCACCATGAGAACGCATGCTAGAAGCCTCTCTCTTTACGTCCCTGAATATATGTCTGGGTTGCAACACTGGCTTCTTCCGCCGCCGTCTGCTATCATCTTCCTCACACTCGTCAAGCATCACTCCGAAGGCCTCCAGACTGCGGAGAATGCGTCTGCGGTGACCGGTGGGAACAACCCCGAGCTCGTAAAGGCGATTGTCTGTGAGCTCCTTGCAGTCGTCCAGAGTCTGAAAGCCTTCATGTTCAAAGTAGACCAAGTACTGGGAGAGACGCAGCGTGGAAAGCCATTCAAAAATCTCCTGTTTAGGCTCAGACATGATGCCAATTTAAAGTTATCACCGCCTCATTTTCAACAATTGGAGACGACAAGAATGCTGATGTAAGGTATCCCAGACAACATGGACCATCCCCTGCAGCTCTGAAGATCTGTAAAAACACAAAAACAAAAAGGATCAGGATGGATTCTTTTAGTGAGGAATCACTATAGAACTGGGAATATGGGAATTCTTTGTGGTTTTTTAAATTGTGAATATATAATTTTAAAGAAAGCCAAATGTAATCTAAGTAATCTTTATTTATATACCACCTTTTCACTGCAGATCTGAGTCTCAAAGCGGTTTACAATTGTTAATTTTTTTTTTTTTTTTTTTTTGGGCATTTGTCTCTCACTCCACACAGAGATGGGAGCAGGGTCGCCAGTACAGGAGGCGCATGCCAGAACTATTGGACAGGTTTTTAGTGGTAGGGGAAACCGGAGTACCCGGAGGAAACCTACGCAGACACGGGGAGAACATGCAAACTCCACTCAGAAAGGCCCTGGTCCGACCGGGATTCGAACCCAGGACCTTCTTGCTGAGAGGCGAGAGTGCTATCCACTCAGCCACCGTGCCGTAACTTTAAATGGTAACTTTAAATGCTGAGTTTGCACCGCAAGGCATTGGTCCTCGTTCTACAACCAGAGCCTGTCCATCGTGGAAGCGGATCCCTCTCTCAATGTAGGCCTCCTCGAGGTTTCTTATTATTTCCCACTTGGTTTTTGAGGTGTGCCTTGCCAATGCAGGGAGGTCTAGGGAAAGTGATGATGATCCAGCACATTTATTGGACATTTATTAACATGTAGTAACATTTAGGAACATCAATGGTTCTTATGTGTTTGTTATTATAGCATTTCCGGTGTTTGATCTTTTTGATTCTATGATATGTGTTAAGTCCTCTGAGACGACTGCTGTCCCTAAATTACGGGCTGAAATAAATTGAATTAAATTGAATTTATAAGTGCAGTACATGTCTGTAGCAGTACAACTAAATTGCTTGGTACAATTTCGTACAGCTAAATTTAGACACGTCGCCACTTTGAGCCGAGAAACATAGCAAGAAGACAACATGTTACTGACATGAGCAGTAGCACCTCAAGTCACTTTTGTATGCCTGCACAGGAAACAGTAGGCAATGTGTATGAGGAAATTACATGCCAATGTTAGGTTTCCCAATTCACATTATAAAAGTCGCTCTTTTATAACTAACATCCTATTTATCCATTTTCCCCGCATTTCGGGACAAAAAGCAATTGTTTCGCTCACACAGCTGACACCTAATATTTAAGGTATATTGTATGTTATCTCCAACTGTTCAGTTGACCGCCACTTGCAGCGTTACTTCTGCTTTGACAGAACTGTACATGTACCTTCCAAGGTTGTAATCTATTATAAAGTTACTATGAAGAAGCAAGAACTGAAACTGACATTTACAAACCACATGTTCTCTGTCCAGGCCTTCCCCAAAATTCAATATTGAGTCCAGAACTGGGCCGTCTATAACTGTGTATGTAGACATGCAGAAGTCTATATTGGCTCACATCCAGCGCTGACATGCGTTTGGTGCTTTGCTGTGTCATTTGACCTGGTAATTTCACAGTTCTGCCTTTGTACACATCAATATGAGAAAACCATAAGCTGTAATAGTTTCTGTGGATTGTGAGAAGAGCAGCCCACGTCTTGGATACCACTCATTTAACAGAGAAACGCAGAAAATGTGTATACTTTTGTAATTCAACTTAGAATATGAAACTATATGACAGACTCAATACATGCAAAGTGAGATATAGCCAGCCTTTTTTAGCAAATATCGCAAATGTTTTATAAATTGAAAATGGTCTGTAAGGCTTAAAGGATAGGAGGATTTCCCCAAATATTATTTAGGAAAGAACTGCCCTTTCCACTTTTTTAACAATACTTTCTGGTCTTAATTGATGAGCATGTATCACCAGAATGACTGACACTTGGGAGGACCAATAGTCTTGATGATCATCAGGAGCTTGGCTCATGACACTTGCATGTAATGAGTCTATATGGATGGTTTCATATTTTTAGGTGAATTACACAAATAAATTAACTTTTGAAGTATATCCTAATTTTCAGGGTTTCACCAGTAGATTGTGTTCATGCGACAACACAACATTCCAAACAGCACACACCTATTCGCCGCATGATCATTTCAAAAGTTCAGGAGGGAAAACCAAATGACGATGATAACTGCCCCGATACTACGGCCTGAGTCCTGGATCTATAGTCTGTCCGTCCGTGGGCGAGGTCATGGAAATGGTCATGAATAGGTGTAAAGTTTAAAACTGGAGGACAATAAAATAATCTTTGTAACTATGGTAACTGCTATAGTTAATCTATTGGAGCAATCCACATGAAACAAAACCTGTTTTAAAGTTTGACATTTCCTCTATCGGTACATCTCAACTATGGTCCAAATATTTCCTCTTAAAAGTTTCTAAAAGTGGTGACAACATTGAAAGAAACATAATATATATGATGTTGGCCAGTAGAAAGGACTCAGACATAACAATTTTGACATTGCATCTTTCCCATGGAGTTACATTGGCACCTGCCCTTTAACTGAAATGGAATTCTACATTAACACTAGCAATTAAACACATGCTAATGCTAAATAAAGACAACAAATAATAGGGCATTAGTTCAGCTATGTGCACAATGCAAATGATAAAAAATAATGATAGTCTATGGGCATGCATGTCCTTTCCAACACAAGGTGCCACTTCTGCACAGGTAGAGAAAAATGTGAGTCATAGAAAAGCACGCCCATTCAAGCAAACACACGCATGTGCTTCAACAGCCCACAACGAAACAAAGTCCATGAATTATATTAAGCCACCTGGTTGGTAAGTCCAACTAGATTATACACTATCAAGCCATGGCATATCAAACCATAAAAAATTAACTGGCATATGGTAAAACAGTTTGGTCATTCACATGCTTTAGTTTTTGATACATTTTTATCAGCTTTTTCAGGCAAAAGTGAAAAGAGAGGACCACCCTCACTCAGCCAATCATCTCTCAGCCCAAGTGTTGAATTAGATAAGATAAGAGACCCTTTATTCGTACCAGAGTGGGGAAATTTCAAACATACAGTAGTGACTCACAGAAAAAGGGAATTGTTATTTTTTAAGTATGCAATTAAGACTGTATAGATAAGACAGCATTTCGTGGTCTGATTTGTACACAAACTTTAACTTTTGCTTTTACTTTGTCTGTTGGGGGAAATAAAAAGGAATGTTTGAAAGAAAAGCACCCCAGCAAGTAGAAACAAGAGACAAACTGGAATAGCCTTAATTAGAGATTTTACTTTCCTTTTCGATTAATCTGATTGCAGGACACCATACGTATAAACAGACCCTGCATTGCTGAATGTTCACGCAAATCTCACGTAAGGTTGCTTTATTTGAGTCTGGCGCGCTCGCAGCGGACCTGGAGCTACACGAACATATACACAAACACGCGGTCCTCGTCATGACGCCACACGCTCGGTACCTGGCCCCAAAACGAGTGGAGGGACATCGGCTTCTTCAGCAGCGCCGTCCTGCTCCTCTGGTGTTGACTGTTTGAAACTCTTGTGACAGCGTGCTCACCACGCCGCGCGCGCTCCGGTGACACCAGTTTCCGTTCTCCGCGTGAGAGCCCAAAGCCACGCCCATCTCGCACGCGCACCGGGACTGTAGTGATCTTATTATATAAAGTCTATGGTAGTGATCGAAGGGCCCATCTATCCAATGTCCCGGATAGACTATTTTTATTGATAGTGCTAGAACTCCCAGAGCAGTCATTTTGACGGGTTATTACTCAGCTCGCTCCTTTTTAGTCTTCATAAGATAAGATAAGATACGTTATTGATCTCACACAGAAATGTACATGTCACATTTGGCATAGAGGAACCCGATTTGTGCAAACATGTTAGAGGCAAAAAATATAGTCTGTTCAGGATATATTATGTAATAAAAAGTGGCAATAGTAGTGCAGGTTTTTAGTCCTATAGTGTAAGAGACCTAAAGTGACTGATAACGTTGAGACTTTTTCTGTATCTATATGGAGTTTCTTTATATAATTGTTTTTTCATATTTTAAATTAGATTTAACCCACTGTCTACTGTCATCAGTTAGCTATAGCCTTTATTGTAGATTCAAGCTATGTTTAGCCTTTATTGTATTTCAGGTTATATTGTGAGATTTCATAACACTTTTAAGCAACTTTTGTTAAAGTTAAACTCATCATTCTATCAATGTGCAGAAGCCAGTACTTTTCCCTTGTTTTGTCTATCTGAAGGCCAAGCTACATGGCACCGTGGCAGCTGCTGATTGGAGGGCTCCATGCCTCCGCTCTGTATAATACACTTGCATTTTGTTGTATCTGTGTTCGTGTTGTTCGTGCTGTCTCTACCATCGACAATAAAACATGTCTTCTGTCTGAATTTAAGACGCGATCCCAGACATGTCATCTTCTTCAATATTCACTTGATATAGTGAAAAATTATATTCACAGATATTTTAGCACTTATCTAAAAGTGAGTAAAGGTAAATATCTTTCCAATTTACACTTTTACCTCCCTGCATTTGAGAGCACTACTTTCTACAAAATATTTTCACAAGACTATCAGAAGAAGCATTTATTTATTTTTTTCATTCTTTGTCCGAGAATGGCTGAGGGGTTATTTGAGTTTGTATACATTAGTTGCTGGAGCCTACCTTGTGTGCTCACGTGTGGAAGTGGAGTCTCTTGTGATTTTTGCTGCACTCCCTACATGTCCCGGCTTGAGTCTGTGGCCCCCAGGCTACAGATTCAGGAGAGGCAGGAATGTAACACTACCTGCCACACGTACAAGAGTTCTCAGGAAAGACGATCATGTTTTCTACCATTCTTTCATTCAGATCATTTTGACCTGTATGTCTTCTTTCAACACCATGGGGTTTGGGTTTCCCAAGAGGAACATGTAGCACTATCAAAAGAACAGTCTGTCATACTGATTTCAATTATGTAAAACAAACATTCAGCCTCTGGACATCATGGATTTTATAGTTTATAGATTTGGCTAAATATGAGTAGGGATGCATGACAAAAAGGTATATTAGAGATTGTTGACATAATTTAGCCACTGTAACATCACACAAACACAATATTTAAACTAAAAGTATTCGGTGTGTATATTTATATACATAGAATCCAAATAGGAACAAGTATATAATATACATAGGATCAAAAATACTGTATAGAATAACTTATAGAGCATAGTTTAGAGGGAGGTTCTCCCTCTAAACTATGCTCTATAAGTTACTCTATTGTTAATTACATTTACAAAAATACACTGCTTGGTTACAGCTTCATGAAAGCAGATTAGTTTAATAATATATTTTATGTATATTAGATTAGTTTTGGATTACGTCAGATGTATTATAATTTCAATTAATACCATATGAGTTTTTGTGTTATATACAAACATCTCCACACAACACTGCTGGTTTCTGGGTTGTCTACACTGATTTGCATGTACCTAAGTAATCTATTAACTATTTTTGATAGTTACCGCAATCTAAAGTCAAGTATTTTAGGTATTTTGTTACACCACTTAGTTGAAAATGTAATCTAATAACCTTATATGTGGAACCGAGTTACAGACAACCATGGTGCGAACATATAATTGGCCACACGAGGGCGACAGAATAAAGCTTTACGTTTACCTCACGCAGCCTGAAGGGTCTTTGCGTTTTACACAAACCTCCATGTGACAAAAGCACATGCTGTGGCTCATTTCACGATGTCGCTTTTTATTAGTGTTTCGTGGACACACTCAGCTCACCTCAACACTTCTCTCACTCTGCCCACACACCATAAAATACAACAATGGCACGGTTTGTATTAGTTTATAGGTCTGCAGTGTTTACGTTGCAGCCGTAGCAAAATGAGTGATAGAATAGAAACAGTGAGGAGACGCCTGGAGAGGACAAGCACCACAGAACCTTGTGCTTTTGTCCGTCCTCCAGACACCTCCGGGAGTCCCCTTGGAAACGTCTTTTATTGCTGGCAAGCTGTATTTAAATGTTTTTTTTTTCTCCCCCTTTTTCCTTCTCCTTCTTCTTCAGTTATGTGTAACACCATTCAATGCCAAGGACCGGGTATAAAGACAGAACTAAATAGAAACTTTATTTTTTTCTTGTGAAACTAAAGAGATGGAGAAAACGCCACGCGCAATTTTGGGTGATTTGCGTTACGCGCTGATGAAGTTGTTCCCTGAGAGCGAAGTAGATGTTGGTGAATGCATAGAAGCAGATAGAAGTAAGGGGAATCTTGCGGATGGTGGGAGCAGAGACGTAGCAGAGATGGTGATGGAGCCAGGCGAAGAGGAGAATGTCTGGAGGCGCAAAGTTTTGGAGAGCATGGGGAAGTTGACGCGCAACCATCTCGACGCGGTGACAGCGTGGAGAGACGTCATCAAACAGTGGGAGTGTAAAACCTCAGAGCCGCCAGGAGAGGGGAGTGTTGGACAGCACGCGTGTAGAACAAGTGGGTTTTGGTTTTTACATTGCATTATGATGTTCAATTCGATTCAATTTATTTTTGATCAGAGAATCAAACAAATCGAGAAATTCAATATACACACAGGAGCCATTGGGAAGACCAATGTCCATAAATGTACTTAAATGTCCCGGCTTATAATGTGAATGTACTATTTGCACATCATGGAATAGCCTGGAAAGAAGTCATATGAATTCATACATGATGATGTCTCTCCACATTTGAACACTTTGAAAAGAAAGAGATATTCATTCAATTTGGACTGTATTGCATGTTAAGATAAGATAAGATAGACTTTATTGATCTCACACTGGAGAAATGTATGTCACATTTGGCACAGATAGAATCACTCAGAACAGAAAGACAGAAGTGTGCCAACATAGTCTGTGCAGGAAATAATTATGTACAATAAAAAGTGGCAATAAGTGTGAGTCACTAAAAAGCCCTTTGGACTGAAAGCTCGCACATGCACATGAATATATGCATTTTTTTTTATTGTTTACTATGTTGTTTAGACGACTCCCACTGATGACTGCTGTCGTTGTGTCCTTGGGCAAGACACTTAACCCCACTTTGCCCAAAGCCCCCACTGAAAGATCAAGGCTAGAGTAAGTAATATAGTATATACCGCCTTTTCACTGCAGATCTGAGTCTCAAAGCGGTTTACAATTGTTAATTTTGGGCATTTGTCTCTCACTCCACACAGAGATGGAAGCGGGGTTGCCAGTACAGGAGGCATATGCCAGAACTATTGGACATATTTTTAGTGGTAGGGGAAACCGGAGTACCCGGAGGAAACCTACGCAGACACGGGGAGAACATGCAAACTCCACTCAGAAAGGCCCTGGTCCGACCGGGATTCGAACCCAGGACCTTCTTGCTGAGAGGCGAGAGTGCTATCCACTCAGCCACCGTGCCGCTGTGTGTGTTAAGTTGTTAATTCAACTTAACACACACAGAGAGCAGCCGTCCTCCTGTGGACTCACCACCTGCAGAGGGTCAGTGAGGGGCTGGTGCTATGAGACTTGGGTGGCATCTCTGACTGCCACCCCCCTGACCCAGAAATGGATTAAAGGGTAGAAAATGGATGGATGGATGGATGGATGTTGTTTAGAAACGGTTCTTATAAAGGAAATGCATTATCCTCATCATCATCATCATTATCATTATGAATATTATTATTATTGTAATTATCATTATTTTCACTATAATTATTTGCTAGACGGTTTGTAAAAGATAGAAACAAGTTACACAGGTTCACAGATTGACTTCCTCTTTTCACTCACAGTTTAACTGAGTCATAAATACAGCAAATATCAAATACTTACTTACTTTATACTTTATTAATTCTCACACAGGAGAAATGTACACAATTTACAAATCTGCTCCAGTAACAACACTCTTCCCTCTGTCTTAGATCCCAGAAATGCTTCGCTCAGTTCCATCATTCAAAGTGTCAGTGACAACATCGATATTATTATAGGCAAATTCAACATCATCAACAGACGAATGGATGAGGAAATCTCGTTAAGTTCTCGTGAGCAACAAGATACAACTTCCCATTCGCCCTCACACATCTGCCCACCCCCCGAGAACATTGAGCAATCACAAACTCCCTCACCCCCAGACCTCACCCAGAGTCATCCCCCCATCCCTGATACTGCACAAGGAGTTGAACCAGGGCCAGACCAGAACGCAACAACAGATGTAGCAGAGTTGGAGCCAGGACAGCAGGAGGTGAGCGGTCAGCAGGAGGTGAGCGGTCAGCAGGAGGTGAGCGGTCAGCAGGAGGTGAGCGGTCAGCAGGAGGTGAGCGGTCAACAGGAGGTGAGCGGTCAGCATGCGGAGGGTCCGTGTGTGTCCCTGGAGACAGAAGACAGAAACAAGAAACATAGCGGACACCTCACATGGATCACTGTTGGGTATGTTTTACTCACTCACTTGCTGATTGGTCTCTCTCGCTATGGCTCTCTCTCTGTCTTTGAACATTTTTTAAAAATAGAATACAATATAGATACAGATCCATCTCTTTCTCTCTCCCTCTCTCTCTTTTTCTTTCAATATCTCTCCATCTCTCACTATCCCTCTCTCTCTCTCTCTCTTTCTCTCTCTTACTCTGTCTTTCTCATTATGTCTGTCTTTGAATATTTTTCTCTGTCTATGAACATTTTTCAAAATATAGATACAGATCTCTCTCATCCTCTGTCTCTGTCTCTCTTTCACACTCTCTCGCTATCTCTCTCTCTCTCACTCTATCTCTACCTCTCTTATTTCTGTTTCTCACACACACACACACACACACACACACACGCACGCACGCACACACACACACAAACACAATCACAGAGTCTCTCTCACAACCCTTTTTATGAAAGGGAAAACTTACAAGTCACATTCAGCGAGCGTGACTAGTTTGTACCACACTTTCAACTAAAACACAAAAAGTAGGGCTGTCAAACGATTACATTTTTTTAGTTGATTAATCGCATAGTAATGGTGAGTTAACTCACGATTAATCGCATGTTTAACATTCTATTTCAAATCCACTCCAATTGAAGTTAAATGAGATTATCAAATATAATTACCAGTATTGGGTAAATTACTTTGAAAAAGTAATTAGTTATAGTTACTTGGTACTGCTTCCAAAAAGTAATTGACTTACTGACTGAGTTACTCCACTATAAAAGTAACTAGTTACCAGTAAAAGTAACTATTGCGTGGTACCGAGCTTCAGCTGGCTGTAATTTAGGATAACTTCCAAGTAGATTAATTGCTGCAACAACCCCACCCTATTTTAGTATGATATGTTAGTTTAGGGAACTGTCCTGCAGGCAAACAGGTATATGACAGGCCAAGGTGCCATTTAATTAAATTGCATTTATTTTTATCCATTGATCAAACAAACGGATTACAAAACTTGCAATTGAAAGAGACTATGTAAGGGATAATGTATAGCCTACAGGTCATTATCGGAAAATAAGTACCGACAGGGCGAAGCGGACCCCGACGCGCAGCGGAGGGGTCTGCTTCTGAAAACTTCCGTGCACTTGTATTAAGACTGGATATGTATAAATTACTCTCCGATTAACATTTCATTGCGTTGATTGATTGGCATTTGCGTTTATTGAGCGGCCAGAACTACTTCCGGGTTTTTCACGATCGCTTTTTGACGCAGAGAAATAGTATTTTTGTCATAAAGACAAGACCAGAAAATTCTGAAAATTTCCGTGCACGTGTGTGAAGAATGTATATGTATAAGTATTCTCCGATTAACATTTAAGTGTGTTGATTGAGCGTGGCTAGCTCAGGAGTGGCCGGAACTACTTGCGGAGTGATCCACGCATTTGAAAGACAAGCAGAGAGTGCGTTGCCATGGGCAGCGGTCATTATTGTTTTGAGAGGTCCGTTATAGAAAATAATGACCGGTAGAACGTTTTGAAATTACATTCAAATCAATGGAGCGTTCTCCTGCTGCTGTGAGGAGCTGTATAATAATTTAAAATAATTAGTTCCCAAAAACACTCGCGCCTGACAGTCAAGGACCAGGGAGAATACAGTACGCAGAGCGCGCCTGACAGACAAGAACCAGGGAAAATACAGTACGCAGAGCGCGCCCGACAGACAAGAACCAGGGAAAATACAGTACGCAGAGCGCGCCTGACAGACAAGAACCAGGGAAATTACAGTGCGCAGAGCGCGCCTGACAGACAAGAACCAGGGAAATTACAGTGCGCAGAGCGCTGAGTATGTGAACGGAGCAATCGCTTGCTGCTGTTATTATAATAGCTAGATCCATGCTTGCAGCCCGTGCAAAGCTTGCACTCACTCACAGCCGCTAACAACAACCAGAGCGGCCACGGAGGAGGCCATCTCACACGCAGCATTCTGAGTGATATTCTTATGGATAAATGGGCGGGTCATTCGGACATGCGTTAATGCGTTTAAAAATAAATAACGCGTTAATAAAAACTGTAATTAACGTGAGTTAACGCGATAATTTTGACAGCCCTAACAAAAAGTTTCAGCAACTTAAGAAAAATGACACGCTAACATGGCCACAAGAGGGCGCCTGAGTATATTTAAAGAACGACTAAACACGAAATCAATTCTTTAACTCATAAACTGCATAAATATGTTTATTGTAGTGCCCTCTACATATCCTGATCATTTTTTGGGGATTTTAGTGCAGATTACATAAAATCTCACTTTTGAGCCTAAAAACGTCTGTGCCCTCTCAACCTTTTCGTGGTGCTACATTTGAATTTGGTCCTGGCCTCTCCATTGACTCTGTAATTCTGTGTGACGTCAGTTTGTATGTGTGACGTGCGTCTGTCTGCGCCAGTGGTGGCGGGTCCCGGCTAAAAAGTGGCCAAAATAATGACGTGCGCTGACATGCTTGCAATACCACCCCGGGCCGATGCTAACATAGCATTGGCAGACCTCTCGAAAACTTCTTTACAAGATGGTCCAAAAGTTGGCTCTTGGCCCAAAGCTCCATTCCACATGTGTGTCAATGCTGAGGGGGGTGAATTTTTTTGGACCACTCTAGTTTGCTTGCTGTGAATTTTTGAAGTCTCTCGTTCAAATGAATGGAGCTTGCGCTGGCTGACGCATGCGCAGATGCGTTTTTTCACAATTCTCTTGTGGGCGGAACCACTCGCAGCCATTTTGGATAGCTCCAGTAGAGCACTATTTTTGGCCCATTAGTAAGAACGGCGGAGATAGGCGTGACTATGGCCCAGTAGCGGCGCCAGGTTTGCAATTTTGGGTAGGCCTGCAGATTAGTAAGTAGGCCAAATTCGCACGCAAACTACAAGGGGTAGCTGGAATTGGGGTTTCAAAGAATATGGTTCAAACGCACGCACGCGCTCACACACGCACCCAAGCACACACATACACACAAGCTCATTTATGAAACTTGCGTAGAAAAATGTGTACATTTGGGGTGTATATTCCATTTATGCAAAATCCAACGTCGGATTTATGAACGTGTGAGATCAGCCCAGATCTGAGCGTATACGCAGCTGCGGGTGTTGATAAATCGGCTGAATACAAACGTATTTATCAGGGACGTGCGGTGAGGTTTGTGATTGGGGAGGCACTGACTTTAAAAGTCAGATTTACAATCATTATTCAAATAAAATAGCATTTAATCACCAATGCAATGACATCCACAAACTTTATATACTGTAAAGATAAGAGAACCAGCTTCTTTTAATAATCTCACAACAAATCTAGCTGCTGACTCTGCTCCGCATCAAACAACATCTTTAAGAAGCGCAGGTGCGAGAGACGCGAGGAGAGAGAGACGCGAGGAGAGAGGAGCAGAGAGAGACAGAGAGGAGCAGAGAGACGGAGACGCGAGGAGCAGAGAGAGACAGAGAGGAGCAGAGAGACGGAGACGCGAGGAGCAGAGAGAGACGGAGACGCGAGGAGAGAGAGACGCGAGGAGAGAGAGACGCGAGGAGAGAGGAGCAGAGAGAGACAGAGAGGAGCAGAGAGACGGAGACGCGAGGAGCAGAGAGAGACGGAGACGCGAGGAGAGAGAGACGCGAGGAGTGAGGAGCAGAGAGAGACAAAGAGGAGCAGAGAGACGGAGACGCGAGGAGCAGAGAGAGACAGAGAGGAGCAGAGAGACGGAGACGCGAGGAGCAGAGAGAGACGGAGACGCGAGGAGAGAGAGACGCGAGGAGAGAGAGACGCGAGGAGAGAGGAGCAGAGAGAGACAGAGAGGAGCAGAGAGACGGAGACGCGAGGAGCAGAGAGAGACGGAGACGCGAGGAGAGAGAGACGCGAGGAGAGAGGAGCAGAGAGAGACAGAGAGGAGCAGAGAGACGGAGACGCGAGGAGCAGAGAGAGAGACGCGAGGAGAGAGGAGCAGAGAGAGACAGAGAGGAGCAGAGAGACGGAGACGCGAGGAGAGAGAGACGCGAGGAGAGAGGAGCAGAGAGAGACAGAGAGGAGCAGAGAGACGGAGACGCGAGGAGCAGAGAGAGACAGAGAGGAGCAGAGAGACGGAGACGCGAGGAGAGAGAGACGCGAGGAGAGAGGAGCAGAGAGAGACAGAGAGGAGCAGAGAGACGGAGACGCGAGGAACCGCGGTAAAGAGGTCCGGCTTTTCGGAGTCAACAGTAAAGAGGCCCGCACATTTCTAGCGGGTTGCCGCTTTATGCTGTTACTTACGGTAACACAGAAAAGAGAAGCCGCGAGGATCAGCCGCCACAATGCATTTTTTAACATGTTTATATTTTTTTTAAATAAAAAACCTTAGAAAAAGCTTTCACTGCACACTTGTTCACTGTGATGCCCTCTATTATTGTGCAAAGTCACATTCACTTTTACTGTAGAAATTCCAAGAAAATGGGGGTCAAAGTGTGCAATAATGATCCAAAATGCACTTTTTAACCTGGATTCTTAAAAAAAGTAAAAAACCTTAGAAAAAGCTTTCACTGCACACTTGTTCACTGTGATGCCCTCTACTATTGTGCAAAGTCACATTCACTTTTACTGTGGAAATTCCTAGAAAATAGGGGTCAAAGTGTGCAAAAATGATCCAAAATGCACTTTTTAACCTGGATTTTGAAAAAAAGTAAAAAACCTTAGAAAAAGCTTTCACTGCACACTTGTTCACTGTGATGCCCTCTACTATTGTGCAAAGTCACATTCACTTTTACTGTGGAAATTCCAAGAAAATAGGGGTCAAAGTGTGCAATAATGATCCAAAATGCACTTTTTAACCTGGATTTTAAAAAAAAGTAAAAAACCTTAGAAAAAGCTTTCACTGCACACTTGTTCACTGTGATGCCCTCTTTTATTGTGCAAAGTCACATTCACTTTTACTGTAGAAATTCCAAGAAAGTAGG